TATGTAGATGAGATTTTGGAACCTCATGTGTTGCCTATCCTCAACGAAATCGGCTATCATTCTATTCTAATGCATGCCCACATGTCCCCCACATAGTGCAGACGTTCCTTCAACAGAACAATATTGAGGTTTTAGCCTGGCCAGCACGTTCTCCAGATTTGAACCCCATGAGCATTTATGGGATAACCTCGGAAGACGAATAAGAGCACGTTCAACTTCCTGATACACTGCAGGACCTTAAAAGGGCTTTTTGGGAGGAATGGGCTATCCTCCAGCAAAGGGACATTTCCGACTGGTGGAAAGTATGCTGAGGCGTCTTCAAGAAGTAGTGAAGGCAAGAGGAGGGAACAGGCGCTACTAAATGATGATGTAATTAATTTCTTTTAGAATAATAATGGTTCGTTTTGGAACCTTGGAATTTAGAACATTTCATTGAATTAAGGATTAAGGGTTATTGTCCTCTATATTAACATTCCTAATTGAAAAAAAAAAAAAAAGATTACCTATTTATTCATTAAAAACAATAGACCAATCCAAAGCAGATATATTTTTAGATGAAAACATAAAAAAATCAAGTGGATGGAATTTTTTGCCTGTCAGTGTATTTTATTTTTAAAACTTAATATTTCAAAAACAATTTTGTATGCTCAAATGTCCTAATATTTTTTTGTATGTGTGTTGTTTAGTATATAAAAAGAAATAAAAGAATTATTCAATACTTCATCATCTCTACATTTAAAGAGTTTGAGTCCTTTTTTGAAAAGTATATTATTTGACTAAAATAAATATTTCCTAAAAAGTCAATTTCCATTGCAAAAAACAAAGCTAGAAAAAAAGTCCGACCGATTTGTCCGGCATTTATTCAATGGAAATTTTTTCAACTTGTACTTCTTTTATCCAAAATTTTAGAATGGTATTATAATAGCAGAGATATTCAGATAGACTAATGGCCAAAAATGTTTTTTTTAGACTTAAAGAGGCTATGAAATACATACATCTGTTTAAACTGTAAACTGAAAATTTGATTTAATTACATTGCTTTCCTTACCTATTGTTTGATACCTCATTATTCAAAATTCATTGCTTCTGAGAAGAGGAAAAGGGATCTACAGTTTGAAAAATTGTATTTTTTTTTTTTTTTTTTTTTAGGAACCAATGTGCTTTACATTAATTATAAATTCCATTTTGTTTCAGATTTTTTTTTTTCTATTTAGATAGGGTTCTTCAGCCATGATTGTTTTGAATAATGAATCTCAATAGTCAAAAGTTTGGAGCCTTCACATTAGAATTATTCAGTAATATAATAAAAATTCAGGACAGAAAGTATTCATTTTTATATATGGAGTGTCCTGTAAATAAAAGAAAATATTTAATAGGGTGATAGCAGACCTCAAGAGATACAAAAAAATTTATATACACAATTATCCGATTTTATACAGAGAAGTAGGAAATTTAAGTTTTTTGTTGAATAGGAAGCGATGACTAGAAAAATATTTTATTGAGGCAATTAACAATTGCTTCATTGTAAGCGAAATACAATTTACTTTTATTTATTAAGCAAGTAGATTTTATCTTTGCTAAAACCATTTGAAAAGAAAGCTTTAAGTAGCTTAACTATGCATTATTCTGATTTTTGTGAAGAAATTGGTTTATTCGTATAAAAATTAGTTTATTTATATTTATCACTCTCCAACTCTACTTTATACTATATTATATTATAAACTTGTTCGTTTGACATTTAGAATCTTTAGGGTCTTCTTTTTCTATTTAACATTTTAAAATTTAAAAAAGATTCAATTATGCAGGTATAAATTATATTTAAAAAAAAAAAACTTTTTGCACTAGCGATGGACACCCTTAAATTCAATTGTTAAAATTTCTAAAATCTTTGTTTGACTAAAAAGATAATGATAAAGATAAGATAAGATAAATGTTCAACTTATTCTTGACAAAACTGTTAGTAAGGAGGTATAAAACACGCTGATCTCAATAGAATTAAAGAAACAACAATGAAGGTATTTTAAAATTTTCTTTTGGGAACTTAATTCATACAGTTGTCAATAAAGACCATTGTTCTTCAATCTAGAAAAAACTGGAACGTTTAAATCAACAAGGAAGCTTATTATTTACATTTAAAGTCCAACCAGACCATCCCTGGCTGCCTGTCTATAATTGCTAAGTTCACACTAGTTTAAATTAATGAGCAATTCATACTGATGTTCAGTTGGTAATGGAAGCTATATCCGAATGAGATATTAAAAGCATTTGTAAATTGCAGAAAGACAACATTACTTCCGTGGTGTAGATTTTTTTTTCTGAAGATTCAACATTTACAAAGCATGGGATATTTTGTTTCAGAAGAAGTCCATAATCATGCAAATGAAAATCTTACCAGAAAACATAAAATACATCAATAGCAATTTAAAGAATTAACTTATTATTATTAAAAACATTTCTTAAAAAAATTAAACTCACCAATCACTTGAACTAGTTTTATGAAAATGTAAATACTAATATTAGGAACATTTTTCTGGTCACTTAAAACAGTAAGGATCAATTCTTATGTGAAAAAACGCTTTATCATTAAGACGTAAGATGAGGATTTTTTACAAAAATACGTCTCAGGTTATAGAAAAAAAAAATTAAAGCTTTTTAAAACCTCAGGTACTTCTGGGGTGACAGAATATAAAATCACATAATTTGTTTACATTACTTAAGGTGAATCTAAATCTATTCAATAAAAAACCTCAATTTAATAAATATCAGTTATGAGTTTTTGTCCCGAGTAGTAGAGAGTTTGGAGAGGAGATAGGGTCTTTTAATTCTGGCATTAATCCCTCTCTATTTTCTCTGGCCCAGGAAATAGGCTGTATAGCTGAAAGGCAAAGAAGAGGAGGATTTAATTAATACGAACTTAAAACCTATTTATTAAGGAAGTTTTTCTAATAATGAGGTAACTCTAGAGTTGAAGAGTGATAAAAATAATTTGTGAATAATCTACTGTTTTATGAAAAAACAAACATTTAATAGTTTAGCTGCTTAAAAAATCCTTTCAATCCTTTAAAAAAGACAAACTCCACTTGCAATCAAAGTAAATTTTGTCTATTTTACTATCAAGGAATTGTTAACTGCCTCAATTGAATATTTTTCAAGTTATTGCTTTCTATTAAAACAAAAAAAAAAACATATTAAAAAACTCAGATTTTATATTTTCCTAAAGAAATTCAGACAATTTTTTATGTAAACTTTTTTGTAACTCTTAAGGTATTTACTTACAGGATACCCTATGTATACAGGGTTTTTCATATAAGAGGACCACAATTGAAATATCATAAAACTGTTAGGGATATCACCAAACTGCAAAGAATTAAAATTATAACTCTCATCGAGATCTTTCAGATAGCCATTTTATTAATCTAGTTCTATTTAAAAAATCTAGTTCTAAGTCTTGAATGTTCGTTCTAAGGTCGGTGTTTCCTCTTTAATCCAAATTTTATAAAACTTATCCAAGAATAAAGGAACACCTGTATTTTAGTTTTTTATCTCCTAGTATTTTGATATCTTACCTATTATCGATGTCACTAGTAAAAAATTGACATAAACAAACCTAAAACACGATTCTTAATAACATTTTTTTTCCAAAGATACAATTAAAATTAAAAGTTGTGATGAACACAGCAACGGTGAACAGAGCACTCCTGTAACTACTTTCATCAATATTCTCCAGATATTTTGCCAATGAATAAATAGTTGTAACGTAAATATTCATACTTTTTTCTGATTTGTTATTTTATGTTTAGTTACATTCCTACCAGTTCAAAGCAAGAGAAAATTCATTATTTTAATAAGAAACAAAAATGAAGAAATTAGAATTATATCTTTTGTGTCCTGGTGTGGATGATTTAGACATGAAAAAAAAGTCCCCTTATTGTTTTCTTCTTGCAAGTACTTAATATGTAATTTTAAATATATGCATACATATTTTCGGCACCATGTTAAGATAACAAATGATAAAAATCTGATTTTTCAACTTCCTTTATTTACCTTAGTATTCCATGTCTACCTTGAGGCATAATTTCGAATCTGAATGGTGAACGGGAACAGTAATTTCATTTTTACAAATTTATAGCTTTGTTAGATTGTACATGTAGTAATAAATAATCATATTCAAAAGTTTATATTGGGCTAATTCACATTCGTTTCTTTAACATGGTACTGACGATATGTAAAAGTAGTTTTACATAACATGTTTAAAAACTGCACCATTGTTTAGGTAATATAACTCTAATTTTCACCCAAGCAAAGACATTGAACTTCGTACCATTTCTACACTCACTCCCTGACAAACTAGGATGGTTCACTTGTGATTGATCTGGTGAAGTTGGCTACTGGGCATAAGCCTTTTCCTTTAAATAACCCCATAAAAAAAGTCCAAAGTATTTAAGTAAGGTGACCTCGCAAGATATGAGACAGGACCTCCTCTTCTATTCCAGTGGTTTGAAGAAGCTTCGCCCATTGCATTTCTTGCTGTTACCGATATAGGTATACATGTTATAGATTTATTTACATCAATTTTCTAGCTAAGCATTGAAAATACCACCATTTATTGGCAAAATACTAGGTGAAACAAAAAAACTAAAATACACACATTTTATTATTTTTTGATTGGTTCTAAAAAAATTATTTAAGAAATGTGGCAAGAGGAGACACCAATGTTTGAGCAAGTGTTAAAGACTTAAAACTGTTTTTTTTATTGATTAGTAAATTATTCATCTGAAAGATCTCAATGAAAGCTACAAATTCGATTCTTAACAATTTTGTGACATTTCAAATGATTTCTAAGAGATTTCACATGTGGTCCTCATTTATGGGACAACTTGTATACATATACATACATATACATATATATATATATATATATATATATATATATATATATATATATATATATATATATATATATATATAAAGTATATAATTATAATTGTATATAACCCTTAAAATAGTTAAAAAATAACTGACTTTCATAATCTTTATTTTATCATATTTACTCGTATAATTATACTTAAATATATCTTCTTTTTACATTAAATTCTAAATAAGAAGCATTCATAATGGCCTTTCAAAAACTGCTCATTTTAACAATATAAAAATAAATTCTACATTTAAAATCATTGATTGAAAAGATGAGTATATCTACTATTTTAAGCTAGATAATAACACTTTCATTAGTACAATTCATCATTAATAGTTCAATTACAATTTTTACATTTAGCTTATGCTATTTAAGTTATATTAACATCATTATCATAGACCAATCGCTCATAAGTCAACAAAATGCTGCCGATTTCCTTAAACTAAATAACATTACTAATGATGTTCTCAATTGTTATATAACAGCTTAAAAAACATTCTAAGCAAGTTTATTAAACCTATTATGATTTAGCATTTAGCCAATGGCATGAAAAATTAAAATAATGATTTTATTGTTAAATGCAAGTTTAATATAAATTCATTTTTTTTTCATTGCCTTTTAAAAATAATCTGACTAGGGTAAACAATATATATAGCCCTTTGACGGATGGACCTTATCAAATGATACAAATCTTAGATTTTTTTTTTTTCAGTTGAGCTTTTAATGACTACACAATATAAGGTCATAATCATTAATAAATTTCATTATAAAGGCAACTCATACTAATATTCATTGTCATCCTTCGCATATTTACAAAACATTAGGCAATATATGACATTTAAATCAGTATTACAATTACTTTAGGCAATAATCAAAAATGTTTATAGAACTTTTCTGATCTATCAATTTCATTCAAATGTCTTTGTGTCAGGATTAGCAAAGATAAAATATTGACAGTGATAGCAACTTTTGCAATAATTTATTTTAACAATATAAATTATATGGTACAATAATCAATCAAAATACACATTCGTAAATATATATACAAGGTTTATCATTAATTAAAAAAAGAAAAAAAGCAAAATGGTCATTCTTTGGTAACAAGGATGACTTAGAATATCACATCTAGAAATTATGGTTTTTATACTACAAGTTTTGAACAGCAGATGACAAATAACTTCCACGCTTATTTTCTATATCAGGTGGACGTATTTTGTGCAGTGCATCACTTTGAGATCTCTCTGAAACAAAGAAAAAATAAATAAATATACTTTTATAAGTTTTATTCAAATTTCAGAAATGTAAAAGTAAAATTATATATATGCTGTGGTATGTTTTCTGTCTCTCCCTTGGAACGTTTGAATAGTTTGAACGTTACTTCTATTGAAATCTCAAACAAATATGGTTCCCACTGAATATTCAGCATGCCTTCCCCAAATAAATTTTGAGGAGGGCAGATTTTGAGGAGAGGGAGGAGAAGGAGGCATATTTGATAGGGTTTTAAATTTTTGGAATGAAAATTTCAAATTAGGAGACAAGCGGAAAACTTGGAACAAACTGTAACAAGTGTAGTTGTATATGATCTACAATTTTTTAATTTCTACTTTTGCTTCCACTGTGTTAAGGAAGATTAGAGCAATAAAATATCAAGGTAGGAGTTGGGAAAAAGGTTCATGCATCATTGATCTTGGGGGCGGGGAGATGGGCACTCCTGTTCCAAAGATATCGGAATATGAATTATGAGCATTTTTTTTCTCTCATGAATATAAATCAGCAGGTTAATGTATTATGGTTCAATACTTCATAATTCGATAATAAAGGCTCATAATTTGAGCCAATATAAGAATGTTGATCTTTTTTAAAAAATATATATTTAAACATAGATATTGATTCTGATATATAATAGCTGAATTGAATCAATAATAAAGAGCTAAGTATACTTAAATTTTTTAATGGAAGGTTAAAATAAAATTAAATTAAAATGAAATTTACCACGATATTTAAGATTCCCTCCTTGAGGCTGTAATAAAGGTCCCCTAAATGAAGCAGCTGAACTCATCACTGATCTGCTACTATTCATTGTACCAGTGTCACCTAGAAAGTTTCGAAGGAAAATCAAATTATCAAAAATATATCAGTATAATTTCACTAAATTCTTTGAAAATGAGATATAAAAATCAGACAATATAAAGGTATATAGTATAACACACATACATGTATGCACACGCGCACACACAAACATTATATAACGAGGCCTAATTGGCAATCCTGAACCCTAATCCATGTTGTGACTGGATGTGCTCCAGAAGCTTCTCTCAACCAAAAAGTCCAAATCCATGGATGACAACAAAAAATTTTCTATCACAGCTGGGCTCTTACTTGGCCTCCAATAGTTAGGGTCCAATGCCATATCCATTCAGCTATCTAACATCAGCTTTCTCCACAATTTTTATTAATAATTTAAATACCTACTTTTGATTTTAATGACTACCAATAATTTTTAATGCACTATATGGATAAGGTGATAATTAAATTAAATCTTTTTTTGTTTATTACTTCAAATAAATATTATATTATGGACTAGAAGTTTTTTTTTTATAAAAATAAAACTGTAATTGAAAAAATTGAAGGAATTATAAAATAAAGTGTGTCATGAAACAAGTGACATGTAGATGTGAGAAAGTAAAATTTTATAGGCCTAATAAAATAAAGAAAATTGACAAAAAACAGATTTTCTATATTAAAATAAGTGACATTTGTTTAAATGTCATTTTAACTTTTGTTTAAAAGAACTCATTAAATTAGTATATACACACACATTCAGGCACATACACACAAGCATAGAATATTGATAATGCTAACCATTATTAATACTGAAAATGCTTACCATGTGGCAAGAAAAATACATCAGGGTTTAATCTGTAAGGTCGTCCTCTAAATGTTGAAGGAGCTGAAGGTGCTGCTGAACCCCAACTGTTTATATCAATATCAGTCAGCACTAAAATAAAATAAAAAAAATAATTAATAATTTTCATAATTAAAATAAAGATTTTTAAAAAAAAATTATATTAGAGGGAAACTGTTGAAGATGGGTAACAGAGAAAAAGTTTTGTTTAGAAACCCAAAGTTTTTTTCTGTTGGGGTATATTAGAAATAAATAGAAAATTTGTCTCAATGATAATTTTTTCATTGATTATGAATATAAATCAATATTAATGTTAGAGGGAGGAAAATTAGATGAATCTAAAATTACAAATAACAAATAATTTAATATTACTCATAAGGATCACTGGCAGATCTACTCAAATAGAGACATCACTTACGAAGCTAATGAACTTAGGGCTAAAATAGGACTTCTTTTTAAAATTTAACTATTTAAGTATATTATCATGGCTAAAGCTAAAGTTATTATCATATTTTTTATCAATCAGTAAAAAATGGTTGAAATATTTACAGCGACATGCACTTCTCTCTAAAAGTACAATATTACAGTTTTTAAACAATCCCATTGACAATTTGATGTATATATATATTTGTTATTTATATATTAATTGTTAGTCAGGCTTAAAAATAATTTGAAAAGTTCCTTGCATTACATTTATTCCATGGAAACATTTTGTTGTCATCAAATAATATTAGTTGTCAAAAATTATTATTCATATTTTTTTCATCAGTCTTCATGACCTAACACAACTTTATAGTTTAGATATTAATGTCTAACATCTTTAGCTTTCTAATGATATCAAATACATACATATTATATTTTGTTTATGTGAACATGTTTAGTGGAACCCAAAAGTTATGCTCCATATGTCCAAATAGTTCTAAGTATAGTGGTGTAGATAAGTCACTTGTTTTGTAAGAGTGGAGATTTGCACTCAAAGAGATGTGACAATTTGTTTGTATCATTTGGTCAGTTCTTAATTTTTAAATTTAGTGTGTATGTTGCAAGTGAGTTTTCTGCCCAAATATAGTCCAAAATAATGCACATAATTTTTTTAAGGAATGGAGTTGTCAATCATTACAGCAGGACATGAAACTTTCTGCAGGGTAAAACTAATTAGGTGTGATATATATGTTTAAAAATAGTTTTTAGATAAAAAATCTTATAAATTAAAATATATACAATACAAATATAACTTAAATAACTATACTAATGTTATAATCTGTCTTATAATGTAGTTTAAGGAATGGTTGCTTTTAAAATAAATTTATAAAATACAAATTATGCAGAAACAGTACTTACAAGAAAGTCTATTTTCATGTCGAAAAGGTCTTGGCCAGGGATCGAATTCTGAACCACACCTTGATCTCCTCTTAACTTCAGCACTCACAATTGAAGCTTCATCTCCACATATATCTGAAATCATTAATAATGTCATAAAACTAAAATTAGTACAATAGAAATGAAAGTAATGTAAATAAAGAAAAAATTGAGGATGTAATGAAAAATGATAACTGTCAATTAAAAAAAAAAATTAGGGTTATTATGTGTTTAGAGTTGCTTAACGCTCTCTATATCAAAACAACATTTTACATTAAACAATATCTCATAGTGAGAACTGATTTTCTAAGTAATACAGACAGGCCGATAAATTTAAATAAGATATTATTAATTGCTAAGAGAGCAGGTAAATGCTGTCTTAAAGGAAATAAACGAAAACCAATTAGGAACATCACGGATAAAAAGTTGCGGTGCTGACCTATTCAGAAACAATCTAAGATAGATGGAAAAGGCATCGAATATCTATATGAATACCGATGACAATGACCCAGTATCCACATCCACATCATCTATCACCCAGGTCCACATCATCCTCAGACAGATGATGATCTAAAAGTTATTGATGTGATGGGAAGAAGATGTCAAACAAGTAATGCAGAGAACTAAGGTAGGAAAAGCAGTTGCTCATGATGGGGTCTTTTCCTGAATTTATCAAATATAATGGCCCAGAATGATCAGAGTTTTGCAGATTCTTTTTCAAAAGACAGCAAGAAAATCTCCTAAGAATGGAAACTCAACATAATTGTGCCAATTCACAAAAAAGGAGCCCTAGTGAGTGTACTAATTATAGGCCAGTATGCCTCTCTACAGTTTTATTTAAAATGTACACCTCAATCCTAGAGCATAGAATGAAAAATTGTTGAGGATGATATTGAGGAAGAATAGGCATTACATCCGAGTAGGCAGACTCAGAACAAAATTTTTGTGCTGCAAAACATTATTGAGAAGTGCTGGGCTAGAGACAGAAATTTGTATTTGGCTTTTCTGGAGTTAGGGAATAGCTTTTGACACTGACATTTAAATGGGAGGCCCTGAGTGCAAAAAATGTACCAACATCATTAATTCAGGCAGTCAAATCTACATACCAAGTTCTCAAAGGTATTGTTAGAATAACTGGTATGACCTAAAATTATTTTCCTATGGCACAAGGTGTAAAACAAGGAGATAGCCTTAGCCCTCTTATTTTTATCATCTTTATGAATGAAATTCACAAGACATGTAACAGAAGGACGGAAAAGACTATAATCACAGACTATATTGTTCTTATTTCTGATGATAAAGAGAAAATTACAGCAGGCACTAATCGAATGGCTAGAAAAGCTTCTTAGGAAAACAATGATTATAAACTCTTCGAAAAGTAAAATCGTATTAATTTCTAGAAGAGAGAAAAATGTTCAATTCTTTTTAACAGAGAGGAGCTAAATGTTGAGGACGATTTCCCATGTTTAGGTACAATAATTTGCAACATTGCAACCATAGACAAAGATGTATTGAGTAGAATTGTAAAAGCAAATAAAATCTAATGTCAAATATGCAACAGAATAGTGGCCAAGAAAGAGGTCACCAATCAAGTAAAGCTCCCACATCTTCAAAGCTGTCTATCTGCTGACTCTGCTATATGGAGAGTTGGATAACGTTAGACAGACATAAGATCCGACTGATTGGGAACGAAATGACATATCTCCGCCAAGTAGCAGAAAAGACACAAAGGGACCGCATCAGAAATGATACCATAAAGGAGCAGTTGTCCATGGCCTCAATGAAAACCACCCTCCATAGAAAACTCAAGTGGTTCGGACATCTATACAAAATGCACAAGAACCGGGATCCAAGAAAAATAATGGAAGCTCGATCGACTGGTAAAAGAACCAGGGGCAGACCCAGCAAGAACTGGCCATTGAAAAAGATTTAAAAAACATAGAAGAACTGAAGATATTGGTACAAAACTGAGAGGACTGGTTCCGATGGAGTCTCCTGCGCTGAGAGGCAGAAGAGGAAAAAAAAGAAGGACGTAGAGAAAGGTAGTAGAAGGAGAGAGGGTGCCCTTCTCCTCTTTTATATTATTTTTAATGCATTCTAATAAAGTTCTTGTCTTTCTGTCCTTTATTTTTACAATGAAACACTCGTATGTTTCTCGACAAACTCCGCCAAACATTAATTGTTCAGGGAGAACTCTCACTACATGATTTTTTCATTTAGAAAAAAGACTCTCGTTTACTTCAACGACTTTCCCAGACCCTCCAATTTTCTTAATTGATCTGTATAACATGTTATGGGCACGAACCTCTCTTAAAAATGTATTCCAAATTATGATATTTCTGTTCGAGTTTCAGCTGCTCTTTGCCCCACTGTATCGTTGTAAAATTATGAGACCACCCATAAATTAACTTTAAAGTGGTTGAAAAGGTTATCTTCGACCCCTCTAACCACGTACTTTTCCTTACAGATACGTTTTTGTTACAAGTCCTGAAAGCATCTCCATTTGGTCTTCTCGTCGAATTTCATTTCATGACCTTCACAAAATTTCACCTTTTCAATTATCCCGGCGTCTTGAAAATATTTGATAGCCTCTTCTTCTGAAGACGATACAAATTTAGCAGAGAGAAAGCTTGTCCTTATACGACAGCTGACTAATATCATTAACGAAAAGGCATCTTCCTTCCTGCTGACCGAGATTACTGTTCCAATGTGATCGTCCTATTGATATCTATTGTCCAGTCTTACCTGAAATTTCACTATCAGTTTCTCACGAAAAAAAAAAAAATGATGAAGTATCAAAATTGTAGAAGGTGAAAGAAGTCTCAGGGTTTAGTAGACTTCTGTAAGTTAATCTGTATAAGCGTAAATAACGCTTAGGCAAAGCCTTAGTGCATCAGACAATAGGGTACGTGGCAAGATCAGAATTTAAGTAACTTTAGCAATCGAAAAATTAAAAATAAAATAAGAATACACTCAGCATTATTTGTATTGAGAATAGTTGTTGGGGATAAATAAAAAATTAGATGTAATAATGTTAATGGAGTTATTAGTGGTCTTTCCGTTCGTAATCGTAATCCATACAGACTATCACTACCACTTCATTTGGTCGTCTATTCTTTCACTACACAAGCTATTATTTTGTCAGCAGCTTATCACCGCGGGGCTATTACCTCTAAATTACAAACTTTTTTTCTTATTAGTGTAGATTTTATAAAAGTATACTAGAAATATTTTTAAAAGATAAAAAATAATCTTACCAGGCGTTTCAAACCAGTCCCCAGATTTATAAGAAGTAACATCGTCATTCGCATCCCACTTGGGTTCGTGAAGCTTTCTCAAGGCTCTTCTCCTTTCCTTACTTCCAAGGGTACATTCCTGACAATGAAATTTTAGTATATTTTATCTCATTAGAGCAAATCACAAGGAAACATAAACTAATAATTAATGATATGCAATTGAGAAATGATTAATGAATAAATATATAAAATAAAGCGCTATTGAATGAATACCATCACTGGTGTAAAGTTTGCAATATATCGTCGATTTATTGCAAAAAGTCAATAAGTATATTTTGGATGGAGATAGACTTCATCATGATAGTCTGTATCAGAGGTGCCCATTCCCCCCAAAGTGGATGGCGCATGAACCAACTCCCTCCTTCAAAAATTGTATTCCTCCCCTCTTCTTAAACACGAAAGTAAGATTAGAAAATTCTTAGATCTTATACAATTATACTTGCTGTGGTCTGTCCTACGTTTCCTCCTAGTTCTCTGTTTTGAAAATTTCATTCCCAAAATTCATAGCTAGGTCGAAATGTGCAACTAGTCTGTACCTCTTTAACGGATGTTGGTGTGAGGTTCCCAGATGAGTATCTGCCTCTCTGTATCCTTTCCTGTCCTCCACCAGTATTATTCTCTCTGCCCAACTTAGGTTGCTCTCGTAAACATTAAGCGAATCCTCGTTGGCCAGGATTTGCGCGAACCCTCCTCTACATTATACTAATTCTTTGCGAATGAACTTGATGAAATTGATCTAAAACATTCACGAGATCTGATTGAATAATTTGAACTATAAAATGTGTCGAAACTTCGGACAGAAAATAGATCCTTACGTAAGAGTGGTCAACCTACATTACCTTCCTTAGTTGAGTGAAAGTGACAACACTCTAAATAAAAAAAAAAATTAATAATTTAATTCTTGTACACATCATGAGAATTTGATGAATATGGCTACTTTAACTTGGTGTGTCAGTCAGGTTTCTTCCACTACATGTTATTGCTCCTAGAATGTTTCCTGACATGCAGCAGTACACGTAAACTAACATAAAGTTCTTTGCATCTATGCGAGTTAACTTACAGCAAGTAGATTAATATATTGTTAAAAATTAATTTCGTTCGGAGGCGCTGGGCTAGTACATCAAGTTTTCGATATTCATAGACGACAATTTTATTAACAACTATTCTTAATGAAGAAGTTGATATTTAAGTATATTCCGTCTTATAGGATGAATACGATTATTTTCATAGTATTCTTTTAATTGTTATTTTTTTATTTAACAATGAAAAAAAAAGAAAATCCTGTTATATATTACAGTTACACTAAATACAAACTGTTCTGATTTGACCGAAGGAAAGCGTATCCAAGTACTTAGTGATTTAATTTTTAAAAAATGCTACTTAATGGTGTTTTGCAATAAACTAACGATATATTGTTTTAGTTGCGAAATAGTTATGAATATTGTTTATATATTTATAGAATATAAAATGAAACTCATGCATGATATTAATGTAATATAATTCAACTATATTCCCCATATAGTTTTAATATGGATCGATGATCTTCAGAGTAATTTTTTATATTGAAAATTGAAAAAAAAAAAAAAGGTAAGGAAAAGAAATCACCTCTAAAAGATGAAACCAGTCATCCAAGCCAAGGCTTCCTCGAAGTAATATCCTACTCTCTCTACCAACCAGTGTGATACCAATGGCCGAGTATGATTTCTTATTTACCCATTCTACTTTTTCAACATCGACCAATTTAACCTGAAAAAAAAATATTAGAAGCTATATTAAATGTTTAATCATGAACGATTATATCATAATATTAAGTCGATATATATTATTAGTCTGTTGTATATAACTATTTTCCTAGATGTTTCTCTAAACCCTTGTGTCAATAGATTTAAATGTACTTTTATTCAATAATCTAGATGAGAAAAAATACACAACTTGGATATAAGACCAGCTAAGTAGTTTTTAGATAAACATCGGCTCAGGTGGCTCATACATAGGAAGGAGGCAAAGAGGCTAGGGGAAAGAACTAAATTCTAACAAAGATCCAGGAAATAACATTTGGATGAAGCTACACAAGCGGGCTCCTCAAATTGCAATGTGGTCGAGAAGAAGGGATCGGAAAAAAGAAAATTTAATAATTTAGGGGGCTGTCAGTAATAAGGCTTACACTGTTTCGAATTTTGTTTTTACTTGTTCATGTCGTTTCAGGCTTCGAGATTTACATGCCATATTTAGAACCATGGAAACAAAATACAATTTTAAATCAAGTAAATAAAATAAAATATTAAGTTTTTAGTGTAATGTTTCCAAAACTGTTCATTTTTTTCCTATTATTTCATGAATGAACGAGATATGGACGTAGGAAATTCTAATCAGGGCGTCAGTTCCAAAATGGCGTATGATAAAGGATTATTTTGTTACTTTGTTGCTAATTCTTTTTTTTTTTTTAATTCAACGAATCTTGAAAACTGAAACTTCAAATTTTGAAGTGTACTTACATTTTTCTGCTTGGTCAATTAAAAATAATAAAGCAACAAATAATAATGCTATAAAATATGGTGTGAAATAAATATTTCTTTATGAACAAAGGTTATTAATATATTATTGTAACTACGATTTTCGTTCTAAGATAAATGAAACAATGGAAATCTTATGTTGCTAACACTTTGCATTTTTAACAATTACGTTCATTATTAGACTTTAATTAATTTGCTCAGCAAGATATAAACCAAGTATATAGACAAGTATTCTTTTTAAAATAATGATTTGAGAGTACCTAATATAAACTTTTAGAAAACATAAATCACACCATACCCAAATTTAAAAAGGACATAAAAGTAAAATAAAGTTTTATTCAGTAAAAAGGTATTTTTTTTTTTTAAGATAGGGAAGAAACATAATCCACTAGAATCGGAAAACAAATCGCATATATATTTTTTAAACTAATCTCTAAAAATTTCTTACTATAGTAATTATAACCAGTTTACTATAGTTTCAAAATAAAACATACAAACAACAAAAACTTTTATTTTCAATCAAAATGTTTTCTATAAATTTCTTCGAACATTTTATTGTATTGATACATTTTTCCACCCTACCCAATTATTTTGTATACAAAAAAGGTAATTTTTGTAAGAATACAAAACAAGTTTGTTTTTTTTTTTTTATGAAAAGAAGTGAATCGCTGATTTTAGCATGTTTGTTTGTTTGTTTCGATGTCTAGGCGCAAAACATCCAGGTCATAAGCGCCCGATCAACTAAATAACATCATTTAATACTATTTGGATGATTGGTACAAAAAAAAAAAAATAAATAAATAAATAAAATAAAATAAAATAAATAAAGAAATGGATTGATAGAATAAAATAAATAATTAAGGATAATAATAGACATTTATAGGTAATAAGATGTATAAAAAATGTATAAATAAATAAACTTTAAAAAATAGCAGTAGAATCAATAAAAAAAAAAAAAAAAAAAAAAAAAAAGAGAGAGAATATATAATAAAAATAAATAGATAAAAAGGAAATTTGCTAGGTGCGCTGTTGTCCCACCGTCTTTGCCATTCTTGGAATATGGTTTCTCTCAGAGGTCGTGCAAGTTCAGATGGTGTCAAAAAAACTTTACCGCGGCCTGGAAGAGTAAGAGCTTCCTTTGCTGCTCTATCAGCCATTTCATTTCCTTTAATTCCTATATGGCCAGGCGACCAGATAAAATGTGCCGTTGTTCCAACTCCTTGAAGCATTTTTATAAGACTTAGAATGCAGTGTATCCCTGGATGGTCTGGATACATGTTATTCATAGCTTTCAGAGTACTTAAGGAATCCGATACAACAACCACATTTGCAACTGGCTTCTTCATGACGTATCGGAGACTCATTCCTACGGCGTTAATCTCTGCTGTGTAAACACTACAAAGATGGTGTAATTTATATTTGTAGGTAGTATCAGGAGTGACAAAGGCTGAAGCAGTAGATGTATCTGATTTGGATCCGTCGGTGAATATTATAAGATGTTCAGGTAACGTGATGATTATTTTTTGGAATTTTTCTTTGTAATCTGCAGGTAATGTAGTATCTTTGGTGAATTGGGTGAGTTGGAGATTTAATTTAGGTTGTATATAGGTCCAAGGGGCTGTTTCTTTTTCTATTTCATGTAATGTTATTTGTTTTAGTTTATTTATAATAAGAGACATTCTTTCTGCCAATGGTAATGTGGTATTCCTTTTTTCTTTAAATCTTTTTGAGAATTTAGATTGAAAAACATATTTATGGGAGGGGTGTGAAGTTTGCGGGTATAATTTAGTAATATAGTTTATTGCAAGTTTCTGTCTTCTAAAGTGCAGTGGTATAAGGCCAGATTCGACACAAATGCTCAGGGTTGGGCTTGTTCTAAAGGCTCCAGTTGCAAGGCGTATTCCAGTGTGGTGCACGGAGTCGAGCTTGGCTGTTATAGTGTTTTAATGGAACGTTTATCATTTTTTCACGAAATCCGGGATCTATTCATCACTTAAGCATGATTGCATTTGAACTGCATATTATAATTTGAATTACATAATTTGGAAGACAATGTATACTTTATTAAAAATAAACAATTAATAAGAGCAATTAGTGTTAAGGAGGTCGTAAGAGAAAATGGAACTAACCTGGGTTATAGGCCTGCCTCGTGTCGGACAACGTGAAACAATTATTTATTCACCTACTGTTATTCATGGAATGAAGGTCGGTAACTTCGTAATAATTAATACAGTTATATATTGAGCGCTTCCTGAATCATTTGCGACAATATCTTTACTAATCGATAGCGGGATAAACGTTTTAATAAAATTAGCAGGAATTTAAAAAATATCTTTCCACTCCCCCGCTCAAAAAAAAAAAAAAAAAAAAGAAAAAAAAAGAGTTTATATACAGTCAACATTATTAGAGACTATTTATTACTTCCTCTTGGTTGTAGAAGTACTAAGGGCTTGCTTGAGGTCCGATTGCTAGATCTGTTGTTTTAACGTGTCAGGATGATTAATTCTTTAAAAAAAAAAAAAAGATTTCGGTCGGAAGGTCCCCAAATAGATTTTTTTTTTCATTAGTGCATATTTGTTTTTGTGCGTGATCTTAGCTTAATACTTTAAAAACTAAAATATGTACTTTTTAAATTTAAACTTATAAGAGCGTGTAAAGAAAAAAAATCTCTAAAAGCATTATTATGGCTGTAATTGATGTTCTTTAATTTTCATTTTATTTATTTTTATTTCGGCCTTCAAGAACCAATTAAACATCACTTTACATTTATTTTTCGTCCAGAGTAAATACCGTTATAATTTAAAAAAAAATAAGTCTTCCAATATTAAATCCTGGATCCACCACTGGCTCAGAGCCTCACTACTTAAACGCCAGTGGTGGGTGTACCTGTGTAGAATTGTTCTCTTGAATAACTTAAATAGGATCATTGAACAGTTTTAGTGAATAAAAGGATGGAAACCATACATGAAATTAATCAGAACCATGTAAGTTAATTGATCGTATCACGTACGCGATCGCTCCTCTCCTCCCCCCTCACACACCCGTAGGCTGCGCCTATGTTGCTAATATCTGTTATCATATTGTCCCTCGGAGTCTTAATGGGCCAAGCAGATTGCTCACTAAAACAGAATAACATAGAGAAAAAAAAAGAAAAGTTATGGAGAAAACAATTTCCGCTGAAGAAAGGAAATGAAGCGCCTGTTAGTCTAGAAAAGGCGAAAGTTGTTGCCCTCACTCTTTTCAGTTGTATATGTAAATAGTCGGTGAAATCATCAACTGGTCCATTTCTACGACAAAAGCAATGTCAAATCACACTACCTCTCTCTCTCTCTCTCTTTTTGAACAGTATTTATTTACCTGTAACCTACCATCTGAATTTATCACTATTAGTCTTCTCCCTTTAAAATATCTTTTAAAAAATATTTTAGAAAGCGATTATTAACAAATAGTTAAATAAATTATTATTTAAAATTTAATTTCTTTAATTTTTTGGATTACTGTAAAAAAATAAATAACTGCGAACTTTATAAGATTTAAAAAAAAATATTTATATAAAATAAATAAAAAAAGAGGACGAGAGATATTCGTTATTTCTAAGTTGGATAATTATCTAATTTTATTATTATTATTTATTATTCTTTACGGATGCGAAACATAGCTATAAAATTATAATTTGTAAAGGGAATAAGATATCGTCGGTTTACTGTAAAACGTATCTAACATAAGTAATTTTTTTAAGAATGATTTTGTGAAATTCAGCCTTATTTATTGATAAAAACCCCACTAAAATGAGTAACGATAAGCGCAAAATTTGCTGAATTTACAAGGAGAAAATTCATCAACTTTCTTGGTGATTCAAGATTATGAAGTGTCACTTAATAACCAATGAACAGACGATATTACGGAGCGTAGGTGCAGAATTTCCATTATGTTTTGATTGAGGAAAGGGAGAGGGGGAGAAATGGTGGTTGTTCATATTATTTGTACAAATTAAGCATAATTGTTGTGAAACGAACAAATATAATATTGGATATTTAAAAATAAGTTTATAGATACACTTGGACATTTTTTTTATTTTTTGTGCTTATAAGTATACTTTAAAATATCTAAACAAAACAATGTATTAAAATTTGTTAAACATGGGCGGAAGGAGGTCAGCCTCCATAATAGGTACATTTAGGTAGATTTTTTTCCAGCTAAAATTGAGTAATGTTAAAGACTGAAAAAAAACTT